ATATTCCAATTCTCTGTGATAATACCAGTGCAATTTGTATGTCTAAAAATCCTGTGCATCACAGCAGAACTAAACATATTGAAGTAAAACACCATTTTATTCGAGATGTAATACAAGCTGGTCATATAGACTTGAATTTCATAGCAACTGAATTCCAAATAGCTGACATATTTACCAAAGCCCTCTCCTCTGATCGGTTCATACGCCTGTGCAATGAGCTTGGCATGCAATCACTCCATTCAATTCTGAAGATTCTCTAAATCAGGTGCTGCTCTTCTTTACTTATTTATGCTAGACTAAATAAATGCTTCCTGGTCAATTTATCTTGACTTGCAATAAGTGCTTATTCATGCATGTGTTGGTTTAGTTATCTATGCACTGTATTTTCCAAAACTTATCAATAATGCGATGTGAGTGTCTCTTGCTATCCTATCGCTCGTATAAATCCTCCCCTTCTGATCGTGCCTCTCATCCCATCCTCAATCCTCTCCCTCCTGTTCATCCAAACATGACTGAACTATTTACCTCTTCCAACATACCTGGAGCCATTGTGACATATGTTGGTAGAACCTTCCATGAGCCTGTCGAATTCAATCTACACCGCTACAAAGAATTCTTTGCATCCCGTCGATTAGCTGATCCCATTACCCTAGATCTCTTTGAGTTCAAATCCTATGGAGTTGATATCACTCCTTTCATTAGAAACCTAGGGTGGGAATTTCTTATGCACTATCCACCCTTGCCAGCCTGTCCACTACCTGTTCGCATGTTCTATGCAAATCTGGTCTGCCAAGGGATCACTACTCGTAAACTCTCCACTCTGGTGAATGGATATCGTGTCTCACTCACTGCTGATGCCATAGGAACTCTGCTGAATTTCCCTGTAGGAGAGTCTCTTCCTCTGGCTCATGAGGATGAGTTTCTCTTCTATGATTTTGATCATGTTATCGAATACTCCCGCATTGCTCAGCGTCCTGTTGATGCTCATGAAACTGTCACAACTGCTGATCTAAACCCTGCTCTGCGGACCCTTCACTATCTCATTACACACTTCTTCCTTCCCCGCTCCAGCTGGCATCATATTGTTACCAAAAATGATCTTTGAATCTTGTCCAATGCTCTCACCGGTCGTAAAATTGACTACTGTCAACTGCTGTTCGGGTCAATTGTTCGAAGTGCTGAGGCTCACTTAGGGGGTCGTCTGCCCTTTGGTGGCCTTATCACTCTTCTGATATCAAATCTGGGAATATCTCTTGATGGCTACTCCTCTTCTGACACCTCGGTGTCCATTCCTGCTATTGCCGTCCTTAACTATATCAAGGTTGACCCTCTGACTTCGAAAGGGGGAGAGACTACTCTTGACCCCGCAGCTAAAAGGCCCAAACCCTATTCCAAGACATGCTCAAAAACTCTGAAATGTGGGGAGACTTCCTCTTCTGTCTGCAAAAATTTAATTATTGATTTCGAAGAAGAGGAAGCAGAACTGGAACCTGAATTCATTTCTGAGAAAGACATCAAGTTGTTCCGTTTTATCCCAATTTCGTATTAAGAACACGTTGTTCTTGATTCGAGCCCAATAGATCCTTCGATTGAGTCGTTAGCTGCGTGACTTTGATAACATACACCCCAGGGGCGAATTAATGAGGCTTGCATCAAGGTGACCCTCTCTCACCGTACTTGTTTACACTTTTTAAGGAACGTCTTTCCACCATCATCTCTGAGAAGTTTCACTCTAGTCTCTGGATGCTAGTTAAGCTTTCAAAGACAAGAACGTCACTCTCTCCCTTATTCTTTGTCGATGACTTATTTGTATTTGGAAGAATCTCTTTACAACAAGCAGTAGTGATGAGGAATGTGTTAGAGTCCTTTGGTGAAGCTTTAGGCTAGCGAATTAATATCTCTAAGTCCCTTCTTTCTGTCTCTAACCAGGCAGGGCCACACTTGAAGCACAGATTGGGTAAAATTACAGGATGTAACATCCTGAACCTTTTTCCGACAAGATACTGTCCGCTTTGGGCCTCTACACCCGCACGGTTTTCGACTTGGGGTGCAATTCAAGGTGACTTCCCATAAGGTCACCCATCCTTGTTGTACTCCACACTGAGCACGTTTAACTTCAGAGTCCTCACATGAACTCCTCCATTACACCCCAAAACGCGTCTTGTCAGTTAAGGCCGGTTTCTTACTTATGAACCATGGATCTCTCCCGTGCTTTGTCGATGTGGGATTCGCCTAAGGTGTTAAACAGTATTCCTTCTAACGTCTAATCTTGGCAAATATCTAGGGGTTCCAATCATTCATGGGAGGATCTCGAAGGATATTTTTCACCCATTATTGGACAGAATTCATGCTCATCAATCTGGTTGGAAGACTAAGTTGTTATCAACAATAGGGAGAGAAACTCTGATTCACATTACTTTGGTTGCAGTCTTGTACACCTCATGCAAAGTGTTCGACTACCAACATCCATTTGTGATCAACTTGATCATTGTAATTGCAAATTCTTGTCGGGTGGATCTGAAAGCCAACACAAGTTTCCCTTAGTCCGCTAGTATTTGGTGACTCGTCCCCGTAAGTATGACGGTTTCGCCATCATAGAAGCTCATTTGATAAACACGTCTCTACTTGGGAAATGTTTATGGAAGCTAATAATAGGTTGGGAAGCACTTTGGGTCAAGGCATATACGACCATATATGGGAGCTTGTGAGCCTTTCCATCGAAGAAGTTGTCGACTGCATCCACCATTGGAAAAGCATTTGAAGGCATTTGAAGCCTTAAAAGGATTCTTTAGATGGATGATAGGCACCAGTGTAGTTGTGGATTTGTAGAAGGATAATTGGCTTCAAGGTGGACCCATCCTTCCTCGACTCCATAACACTCCCAATTCTACTTATTTTATTTTAAAAGTCTCACATCTCATCGCTTCAGATGGAGAATAGAACTTTCAACTCATACCAACGGCCTTACCCTACTCTCATCCTTTCTAACCAGAGTGATAGATTGATCTGGAATCACTCAAGTGCATGACTCTATACTCCTAGCTTAGCTTATTAGAGCCTTTATGATACTGCATACCCAACTTCGAAAGCTCACCGCATTGGCGATGGGTTTGGCATCTACAAATTCCTCAAAGAATGCGGTTATTTCTTTGGTTGGTTATCCATGATTGCATTTACATAAGGTTTATGTTGTCTAATTGAATAATCCAGGTGAGTGCCGGCTACCCACTCTGTAACCAAGATATAGAATCTACTCTTCACGCCCTTCATGACAGTTAGAGAGTGAAGACACAATGGTTAGACATTTTGCGTTTTCTAAAGAAGATTTTTTCGCGTTAGGTCTCATGGAATGGATAGAGATAAATGTTTTTCATTATGGTGAAATGAGTTGAATGGGATGAAATGGAATTTATGGGTTCTGGTAGTTATGTGGCTACACTGGTGAAGAGGATGTCTAGGGGAAAGTGGGCTTTTGGCACAAGGCTCATGGATATGCATTGGAGCTTCACCATCTAGCAAAGTCAGAGACTACATCTCCATTGGCGAGGCTAATCGAATGGACCGCCCCAAGGGACATAAGAGTAAAACCTAATGTTGATGGAAGTCGATTCAGCTCTCTGCCGTCTATTGGAATTGGCATAGTGTTGCAAGATTCTCAAGGAAGATGGATGGCTAGTTTTTTTTAATTATATTGGTAGTTGTGATATCTTAATAGTGAAACTCTATGCTATACGAGATGGCCTCTCGTTGGCTTGATGTTGAATCGGACTTTCAAGTCACTGTGATGCTCGTTAATACTGGGTAACACCATTTTCATCTACTTGTAGTGTTGATTTAGGACTGTCGACAACTTCGTAACAAAAACTGGAGTTGCTCCGTTACACATATTCATAGAGAGACAAACTCGGTGGCGGATGCTCTCGCCAAAGCTGCCCATCTGGCCACCTCAGGCGAAATTCTCCATCCCAGTCCACCGGCCTTTGTCTTGACATGTTTGGAGGGTGACCGAACTGGCAGGGGCGGAGCCAGGATCCAGAGATCCGGGGGCCAAACTTTTTTTTATAGTATCCGTCAAAATTTTCTAAGAAGATAAATAATAATAATTCATTCATTATAGAAACCCAACAGTATTTTAGAAACCCAAGTAATATTTTAGATAATTAAAAGATATAAACATATGCTATAAACTCAAATTTTATGTAATAGTCTGTTGAAAATAAATAGTAAATGACCAGCATACTTCATCTTTAATTATCTGGTTTGAACTTTAAAATTAGAAAATATATGAAGATGAAGTACAAAAGTTAAGTAATTAGTTCAAATTTTAAGCAAAAATTAAACGAAAAAGAGAAAATCTACAAAAATATGGTCTTGCCAGGGATTGAACCTGGGTACCCGAAAGATACTAAAACTTGCTTTCCGCTGGACTAGAGCTAGGCTAAGTTTATCATTTTTGTGCGGAACGATAATTATATAATAGCTAATTTCTTCAGAATTTCCAAAATTCTCGATATTTTTACACGCCATCTTCAGAATTCTGTGTGTGGGGGGCGGAGGGGCGAGGAACAAGGTAGCTCCGCCCCTGCGAACTGGAGTTCAATACTCTTGTTTAATTTAGCTTTACTTCTTTTACATTTTACTGTCTGTTTTTTAGTTTCATGTTAACAAACAAAATTTCATAAATGGAATTGAACCAAATCTTTACAATTCTTGTGGTTGGCGCATACTAGATTAGAGATCACCCCACCCCATAACTTTTTCCTCATTAGAACATATATAGTGTCAGCCTATGCAAAGAATAAGGGATCAAGAGATTTGACGACCCATCAACAATAATATTACACATGAAAAATTATTAACAACAGCTGCAAGTTTGCAACCAAATGAATATTTACAAGTGCTACCGAAAGTCACATCCCCCCTTTAATTGTGACGCAATTAGATCTCCGACGTTGTTGGGGCGAGTTCCAAAGATGGAATCTTTTCGTCGCCCCCAATTGTTAGCAATCCTCAGATACAAGTGGAGATGTGGTACTCCTTAAGGGTCCTTTCGTCCATAATCCTTTGTAAAGCATCTGCCTGTTGACAGGCATTGCTCCCAGTAGGTCCCCATCGTCGTCATAATCATCACTATCTTCATAATTCTCAGAAACGGGGGAAAACTCCATTACTTCTTCTGCAAATCGAACCCTCTTTCCCTGCTTACGATGGTGTTTATGCTTATGGTGATGGATTCTTCTTCTTCTTCCCCCTGTCATCAAATCTCGGAACTTGAAATTAATCGAATTGGGATTCTGAGATGAAAAATGAAATTGCATAAAGCAGGGGAAAAAAAGGAGGAAAAGCAGAGGAGGCAAGGGAATAATACAAACCCAGTTCAACTTCGATCTTGTCCATGAAATTGGAAATGAGGCGCTTGTGGAGCTGGGTAGAAATCAGAGCAACGCTTCCTGAGACGGCAAAGGCAGCCATCAGACCAACTCCCATCGAATTCTCCATTTTCGAACTCTCTTTTTCTTCTTCTTCTTCTTCTTCCCTCTCCGCTGATGATTTGTTTATGGTGATTTGATTAAATGTCCATACACCAACATTGGAAGAATGGAAAGATGTCCGGATGGGAAGAAGGAGGCATTCCAGACACCTTCGTGAAAAAACGTGCAAAGATAGTAACGGGAACCCACTCCTGGGAAATGAACGAGTTGAAGGGATTTTCTTTCCTTTGTTTCTTGAGGTGGGGTTTTAAGATGATAATAACAAAAAAACTGCTTCGTGCATAATTTTATATTATACCTTTTGTTGGATCATTCCTATTATGAAACCTTGGAGAGTCTAATTTGAACAGCTTTTGACTATATATACGAATTATCTTGTTTTGTGTTTTCTGTATCTGGAAGTAGTGACTATAAATTCCTGAGGATAGCATTGAGGACCCAGGTCTTGTATATAGCACCTCCTAAAATTAAAAGATTTGGGTGTTTTTTTTTTTTTTTCTTCGGTTGCAAGGGAAAGCCTTGATCTGTTTTTCTGTGTGTTTGGGTTTAGGTTAATTTTTAGCGAACTCAACCATGGACATTATGGCATAAAAATTTGAAGGACGAAAGACCTGACGTCTTGAGTAAGGATATCATCCCTCTGCTTGCCCTTGACTTGACTGCCAGTCATCCTAAAAAGAATTCAAATTCAAGCATCCGTGCAGCTACTAGTAGGATCAATCAATTGTCGAAAATTGGGATACTGATTACTGGATGTGATGGATGGGGTGTTCGTCACTTCTTCTAATCTCACTGTTGCAGAGACGAAAACAATTATGCCTTTCAATTGGGATTTCAAAAGGGTTGAGGTAGATAACTCAGATCTGTTCCATTTCATACGATTGTTTTGGTACACACAAACAAAACAATACAAGCCAAGATCCACAATCCAACAACAAAATTGAACACTACCAGATCGCTAATCCCCTCACTCCACCTCAGCCCTCAAAAAGCCATGCCGAGAGAACAACACAACAGACAGAGTAGAAAGAAAGCAGAGAACTGGGACTATCTAAAAAAATCCATCTCCGATGAATTGTTACAGAGAAAACGGCTGCATCACCGGAACCAACGACACGGAGGAAACGATAGCAAAAGAAGCTGACTGTACTCATCCGACCGACGATTGCGTCAGGGAGCGACGTACAAGACTGGACTAAGGAGGAGATGGAGAAGCATGAAGCAGGCGCACGAGAAGGACAGGAACACCACCCCGTACACCATCCGTAGAGCCATTTCCCCTCCCTAAATTCAGCAAATCGAACCCGTCGTCCGCTCCGATCTGCTTCGGATCTAAGGTTCCAAGATAGCTGGAGGGGGAAGGTAGAGAGCAGCAGATGGGTTGTAGGAAAAACGAGCCGGCGGTGATTTGGGATTTGAGAGATTGGGACTGGGAGTTTGAAATCGTGATGAATGAAGGGAGCGAGGTACTCATTAAAGAAGAAGAAAAGTGAACAATTGGATAAGGACGGTGCCTCCCACCTTTCGCGTAACCACCAAGATTTGAATCTCTTCTCATTCTTTCAAAGTTTGGAACAAATTAAAAATATTTTTATTATTATTTTCTTATATAATTTACTTATTTTGTTATATATTAATTGATGGGTAATATCTATTTTTTATCCAAATTTTTTTTAAAAATTATTTTATAGTATCCAAACATATTAAAATATTTTAGTTGTGGACTTTAGTGGGATTGAGTAACTTTATCTTTAGTCTATGGTGGCGACATGTCATGGTCTCTGAGACCTCCCCATTCCACATTCTCCAATGCATCCGTTTACTTTGGAGAATCTGGAAGTCTATAAATAAAGTGACCTTCGATTTTTACCAACCTCATGTCCGTTCCCTAGCCAGTCAGTTCTACAACCAGGTCCTCGAAGTCTCCAATCTTCTCCTTCCTCCTCCACCCCGCAGCTCTCTACCCCAAACCTTCCTGCCTCCTCTTGGGTCCCACCGCCCGAAGACTTTTTGAAGATCAACTTCGACGCTGCTGTTTGTGCCACCGGGTGTTCGTCTGGGCTTATTATCCGTGGGTCAGACGGGCATGTGGTGTTGACGTTCGGGGTGTAGCATCCAGGAATAGTCAATCCTTACCTGGCAGAGCTTCTAGCATTTAGAGACGCTATCTCCATCGTAGCTTCAAGATCCTTGACCCGCGTGATAGTCGAAGGTGATTTCGAAGTGGTTGTCAATCAAGTCCGTCAAGGCGTCATAGAAGAATCGATTGGTGGTCCGGTGTTACGAGAGTGTCATCAGATCCTTAACTCTTTGTCTGTCTGTATAGAGTCTAGGGCGGTACCTAGGTCCGCCAACAGTGCTGCCCATAGAGTGGCGCGTAAAGCACTGCTTTTGTCTCGTTTAGAGCTAGAATCTTTTGATTTTTTTTGGGTGGTTTCTTTAGAGTCTTTTAGGGGTCCTGGGTAGAATTGTAATTTAACTATTATCCTTCATTGATATCATTCAGAAATAAAAAAAAAACATATTAAAATGTTATTAATTAGTTAAATGTCAATTTTCAATTAACAATTTTTTTAGTAATATTGACTTTGCAACACGATATTAATTTGGAAGGAACACATAAAAGTTAACATTTATGTCTTCTTAGATTTATTTGTCCGCGGATTAAGAGGTCATCGGTTCGAATCTTATTGGACTCTTTATGTTTATCTTTTTTTCCCCTTTACCGGCAGTTAGAACTTTGAATAACTCATCAAAAATTGGTCGGCGGGGAGACACCGGATATGCTGACACGCAGCACAAACGGTTAAAGTGACGTCGTTCCACTACAAACAGAAAAGCCCAGCTCTTCTTCTTGTAGCGCTACCACTCAAATCTTTCCACATACGGAAAGTTGTTCGGTCCGTTTTGGTAAACAAATTCCACCGCACCACACCACACCACACCACAAGCAAAAACAAAATAAACCTTGCAATTAATTGATTAATTACATGAAAACAATATAAATAAAATTTCCGAATCACAGTAGTTAATCGTCTACCACAACTGCACAACAGCTACTCTCCACAACTTGAAATAAAGTAACCAAAAGTTGAAATTTAAAATGGTTTCATCGTGACCGCTGCAGAGACATTGCCAGTTGACCGGGCTTCCGCCGACCTGCCCCCAGCGGCGGCAGCGTTCTGCTTGAGCTCATCTCTTGCCACCACGTCAGCTGCAAAACGCACCCGTTTGCCCGTCTTGGGTTTGGGTCTGGGAGGGGAAGGAGCAGGGGAAGGGGAAGGGAGCAGATGGAATTGGAGCTGAGACATGAAATCGTTGACGAGACGGTGGTGTAGTTGACGAGAAATCAGTGCTACGCTTCCGCCTGAGACTGCCACCGCCGCCACGTAACCAGCTCCTTTCACCCACCACCAACTCATCATCATCATCGCACGCTTATAAATGAGCACAGATGCAGGGCTGGGGAATGGAAATGCATGCGAAAGCTGACTCCACTCCAATTAGGAAGAAAGCAAATTAGTAGTTTTGGTTTCTATTCTGGCAGTTGGAGGAGAGAGAAAGCGAAAGAGATGACAAGGGAGCAGCCCGCCCAGCCAGGTGTCATAAATGTCCAACGGACGGTTTCTCCAAAGACCCACCCACCGAAGAGGAAAACGAAAACACCCAACAACTCCACACCCTTTTTCCTCTCATAAAAGATCTGCACTGAATTCTTTCTGGCTATGACGATTGATGATCGAGTTAAGGGCTAGTAAGCAGAGTAATTAGTGGAAACACAAGCCCACCGTCGACTACCCTTTGCAGGAGAGGAGATGATAGAAGAAGGGTAAAAGCAGGATACTATCTATGAATATGATCGCGGTCCAACTCTACTTATATAATAATTAAGTAGTTAAATACAGAGAAGCAGGATACCATGGTTGCTGATAAGACAAGGTTTGTGTGTGCGTCTAACAAGTGGCGGACTGCTCTGGCGCCACAGCAGCCATATGCTCTGCCCCAAAAAATCTGTTCAAGTACGTGAGCTTCTAGACTTAAAACCATTTTGAGGATGATTCATTCTACTCCACTCCTTCACTGGATCATCATCGTGTTATTTACAACTACTCAAATTTATTCTAAGTGTTAAATAAAAGAATAAGATAGATAGATAGATAGAGGATAGGAAAGACACCGTATTGGCCCTGCCCTGCTAATTTAACCAATTAGAAACCAACAATTGCAGCAACCTTACCAGAAGAACAGCGAAACGAAGGACCTCACGCAGTAAAAGCTAAACATCGGTTTCGCTTTTGAGTCTTTGACAGGAGGAGGGAGACGTTTCCAGAGATGGCCTGTGAATGGAGTTTTGACTTTTGAGTTGAATAGCAAAACAGTTTCCACGTACATCAAGGACAACACAATATCAGATCACTACTAACGTGAAAGCAACGGCAAGATAATTTTTTTTTTGACAATTAACGGCAAGATAATTGGAAGGCATAGCAGCAGCAGCATTATATTAATCAGGTAATGTAACCCATCAATCATCATCCTTGGCTGTGTACGTACTTTGTGATGGATGGAAATGAGATGACCCTATTACAAAAAACAATCGCAACACTAGTAGGTTGGGCTGCTTATTTCCAGTAAACCAAACTTTTTCCTTTCTTTTTCCCTGGATGTTACAGAGAGAGAGGAAGAGAGAGATCTAAAAGATCCAGGTAGAGTCATCTTTAGAAGCTGCTGATACTTCCAACCATGTCTGGTGCACATGCAAAAACGTTGGAGTCGGATTGCCAGCCTAACAACAACAGCAAACAAAACAATTGTAATGTCATGCCATGCACTTCATATGATGATCACTGAAAAGATAGGGTAACTTTACTTTAACTTTTTGTAGACTAACCTTCAAACTAACTATACACGTGGTCACGCAACCTTGCCTTTCCTCCTCTGCAAGCAATTTCAACCAAAGCAAGAGGCCACTTCATTCAGAGGCTTTATACAAGAATATCAGGGCTGTACTACCATATAATGTTTAGAAAAATTCTATACTGCGTCAGTTTACATTTCCCACTAGTTATTTTGAATCGTGTCACTCTAATATCATGATAACGAAGTTTGGATCCTCAAGAAAGGTTCTTACCTGATTGTTCCCACTTATAGAACTTTGTTAGCCATGTATTTGAGCCAATTGGGATGGATGAAACCTGGTCCACCCAGAACCAGAACTGTTTCCCCTGCTTGTCACCGTAGCAACTCCTAATTTTATTCAGAGCATCAGAGAGAGAAAGCTCAGCACCAGATGGATGAACAAGATTCCCAGACGCATCCTGCACAAAAAGTAAAAGGAAAGGGAAGCTCCAAACTTAGTGCCAAAAACCTCTGGTCCAACTGGTTGAATCCACTAAATCGTACCCTTATCAGAAAACAACCAACTCTATTAGATACATTTGCAACTTTCACAGGGATTTGTTCACAAGTAAAAAAAATTATACGGTTCTTCAGTATAATAGCCAAGAAGACTTGGTAAACAGCAGTGCTGTTCTTTAATATGATGTCAGCCTAGAATTCTCAAAAATCATACCCTAATAGATGCATGAATACGGCATACTAGAAACATTGACAGGAATGTCATAAAGATAGTGAGCTTACTGAATCAGCTTTGAGACTTGACAAAAATGACTCTGAATTCTCGATTTCTGCGCGCCTCCATTTCTCCAAGAACAAGAAGAATTTGACCAATTCATGATTGGGATGGATGCTTTGTGCATCACCTTCAGTAGGCTTGGTTACATCTCTTGGGGAAGTATTTGGGCCAAGTCCAAAATGACCAATGGCCTGAATAATGCCAGCTGCACACCTCTCTGTTGCATGGATTACTTTAGGGTTGCTCTTAGCGTTTTCATTATACCACTGCAGAAGTTCTTCTTGAGCATTGCTAACCTGTATAAGGAAATGAAAAATTCCAGAGCAGGAGGATGATTCATAAATGTGCTCTGCTTCCTGATAATCTTTACTCTCGACCAACACCATAAAAGACCAAGATCCTACCATAACTCCATGCACATCAGGAATGGTGAATAGTTCTGCATCATTTCCAGAGTCACCACAGACAAGAGTATTCTTTGGTAGTTTCCCCTCACTCTTGAACTTCTTATGCAAGTATGCCAGAGCTTGGCCTTTTCCAGCTCCTTGTGGAAGGATATCTAAATCCATCCCTCCACTGTAAATTATCTTCACATCCAACTGGCAACGTAACAAACAATAGTGTAACGAAAGATTCAAATGTTCACTTCATCAACCTTAAATAAGGACACTCCAAAGAAGTATCATTGCAAGTCAGAAGCTTGATCTCACCCCACGTTTCTGGAATATATCAGAGAGGGCCTTTATCACATCCTGAGCCTTAGCTTTATCCACATAGAAGCTAATCTTGTGAGGTCGCTGCTCTGTCTCTGACTGCATGTGTCCAAACTTCCAAATTACTCAAAAGAGCCAATTATTCAATCAACAATTTGCAGTGAAAAAAGAAGTTTTTTACTTACAGCATCAACCTGATTATCTATGGTCGAAGTTCTGGTGCACACGACAAACCATTGAATGAACCAGAATGCTATTACTCTCAAACCTTACCTGGAGCTTAAGTTCAGAAAACTTGCTAGTCTCCTCTGTAACAACTTTCCTGTCCCATTTGTGATTCAGAACTTCAACCCAACCATCGTCAGGGACCATAGAGTTACCATAAGTGATCTCAGTTCCCACAGACATTATAGTTATGTCAGGCGTCAACATGGGTTTCTCCTTCCTCAACTCTTTATACAGCGTAGGTGACCTCCCGGTGGAGAACACCAGGAGAGAGTCGAACCGGTAGTGGGCTTCCCACAATGCATTGAACCTAAGGAGAGACATGTTCTCCTCGTCATGGTGATCAACCTACAAGTCATAGCAAAATGCACAGTGAAACTCCATAACTAGGGGAATAGAGAAAGGAAAAGGAACAGAAGAAGCGACCAAGTGTACCATGGTATGATCAAGATCCGAGACTATCATAAGACGAGCAGGATCCTTGAGGCGGTCCATCGCAAGTAGGATATTAGATTCAGCCTGAAATTAGACTAGTTTTCATTAGGCGAAGGAAAGTGTTGTAGGTAGAAAGCACTCTTCCAGGGTTCGGTAAACTAGAGACGGAATCTGAATAGTAGCATGAGCAAGAGCAACCCAAGAAGGCCAAAATGATAAAACTAGAAAATCCTCAAAAATCACCAATTCAGCAAAACGAAAGCAGGGGATCATGTACTTCATACAGGATGAGGAGCTGGATCGAAGGGAAAAGTGCATCCTAAACTTTGCTACAGCGATTAAATTAGCGTCAGAAGGTTTTCTCAGGAGACAAACAGGGTTCTGAGTTGCGACGGACGAGCAGTTAAATGCGTGGCCTAGTATGCGAGCCCAATGAAATCAGAAATGATTCAGGCGGATTAACTGACAGACGGACCGCGGGATTGGGGAAATCGCCAGAAAGTAGAGCAATCGATTTCCAACTTGGGTGGATTAACAAAAGCCAAACACGATCAGGAAAACGTGGTGAAAGGAAGTTACCGAGGGAGAGCGATGCCAGGATGGAAATGGATGAGGAATTGCAGCAGAAGAATGGCGAGGAGAAAGGAAAACAGACAAATTACCCGATTGCAATTGAGTGACGGAGAGCAGAATAGAACAAAGTTCCGGTGCGATTTGGATATCCGGTGGAATTGAGGGATCCAAATTCGTTGGCGCTTCTTTTGTGGAGCGACAGATTTATTATTATTGAGATTGAAATAATAAAAAGAGAGATCGAAATTAACTATTATCCCCATAAGAATAAGATAGAGAGAATAAGAGAAACGAAATTCTTTTTAAATATGAAATCTATGTACACTTTTTGACTCAAGTTTAGTCATTGGGTTTACTAAAAACTTTCATATTTGAACACTATAAATATTTAATTTTATTCGTGGTCATTAAATTTAGTTCGATAGTTCAAATTTAGTCACTCTCCATTAGTCTCTGTTAACTTTTACTAATGTAACATCCAATTTTTATAGTTGATCGTTAAATAAGTGATGTGTCATTTACAAATTAATAAAAAAAATAATCATTAAATTTTTCCTGATGAAGAAGTTGTCTGCTGCGCCAAGGTCGGGTTGGGTCGGGTTTTGCCAAACCCAAACGCAAACCCATGGGTTTATCCGTGAAAAAACCCGGGGTAAAACCAACTGGGTTTGAAAAACTCAAACTCAACCCAACCCAACCCGCTGGGTATCCGCGGGTTCATGGGTACCCATAGGTTTTTGTCGTAAAAAATTAACAATAACAAGTTCCTATAAAAAATAAAAGTCAAATATCAATCTCTCAATACAAATTATCCATATATAAAACACCATTCTTGAAAATTCAAGCAAATCACAAATTAACCATACATATTGTTCAACACCAATCTAGAAAACTCAAGAAAATTGAAGCAAATCACAAATTCTTCATAAACAACATGATTAATTGAAAGCTTTTTCCTCCTTGTCAATTAAGCTTCTTCACTCTCCACTCGATAATATCAACTTCAATCTACACCATTAGAAGAAAAAATTAGACATATCTCCACAAACATAAAGAATATTAGTTGTTTAAATATTAAATATACTAGAAAAATTAATTATATGCAGGGGCGGAGCTACAGCATGTCTCGGGGGGGCCCCGGCCCCCCCGAGAATCTCGAAAGTCACGTATAAATAAGTCGGGATCGTGTGTACAAACTATAATTTATATATAAAATATAAACCGTGCAAAGTTAAGACAAAAAGTTTCTTGTAGCCCAGCGGAAGATGAACTATTTATAACCCAAATGTCTCGGGTTCGATTCCAAAGGGAAGCAGTTTATAGCTTTCCCCTAGGTTAATTACTTTTATGGTAGTTTACCTAAGTTCAACTTCTCCTTCCTTTTCTTTTATAGTAAGCGCCCTAGGTTAATTACTTTTATGGTAGTTTACCTAAGCTACAACTTCTCCTTCCTTTTCTTTTATAGTAAGCGGGCATTAAATACTTTAGTCATTAACTTTGTAATTTTTATTTTCCTTTTTAAATTATAGTTTACATCAATTAATTACCGGTTTTGCTTCTTGAAATATATTATTTTTTATTATTCTAATTTATAGTAAATATAATGTGAAAAATATTTTATATGGTTATAATAAAACAAAATTAGTATAAAAATAGATTTTTAAACCTAAATATTTTAATTATTAGTATTTTTTTAGTCTTTTGCAGTAATGTATTATGAAATCCGGCCCCCCCAGCACTAAATGCTAGCTCCGCCCCTGATTATATGGGTGTGGGCGGGTACCTATGGAGTGGGTTTACATAAACCCAAACCCAACCGGGTGAATAGTGAACGGGTTTAAACCCAAACCCGGCCCAAAACCCGTGTTGCCCGTCATCAATCCTTCCCTCAATCTTTCTCTCTCTACTCCGGCCTCAAACTCGGCGGCAACGACGATTTACTGAGTGAACAAGGCGGCTGCAACGGCAACCACGAAGGCTATCGATGCAGTGAACAACGCGGCGCGGCAGCGGTAGACGGCGATGAAGATCCTTGCACCTCCCCCAATCTACCTTCTCTTCCTCTCGATCTATTCCATTTCTATTTTGATGCATGTGGGTTTTTATGTTTTATTTTCGATATATGGCAGGCACTGTGTGAGGAGAAGAGAACGGGGAGGAGTGTTTGGTGGAGTGAGGGAGTGGATGGCGGTGGCGGGATTCAGAGCGGCGGCGAGAAGAACGGCGGTGGTGGGATGTGGAGCGGCGACGGTGGATGAGAGCCGAGAGGGTTGGGCTGTCTTTTTTTTATTTTATTAGGGTTAGCTGTTAGCATAGTGGTTATGGGCTGAGGAGTGGGTGAGAATATGGGTCGAGGCCCAGTTTTAATTGGGATGAGGTATGCATCTGTGGGCTGGATGTATTTATTCGGTTTTTCGGTTCGGCAATCGAAATTTCAGGTTCGGTCAAGAGACCCTGGTTTCCGAAATATGTCTATTGTGTTTTCGAATTCCGAACCAAAAATTATTATTTCGGTTTCGGTTCGGTTGTAAATCGGTTTGGCTCGGTTTGGTTTGGGTTTACCGAACCGAGTGCCCACCCCTACAAATGAGGAAGATGACTCCTTATATAGGCCTCTCCTCATACAAGGCATCAATGCCCCTCATAATGTCCCTCTACATCAATACACCCTATTAAGTCCCCCCATTATGCACTCTATAAATGTCACCCATTATGTGACTCATAAGTGCACCATTAAGCTCTCATTTAGGTGGAGAATCCTAGGAGCATCTCTATGCTACTAGTCTTCCATACATGCCACATGTGCAGCTTCCATGTTGTCACCTTGTTGGCGCCATGTCATCTGCCACATGTGACATCCTCCCCCACCTATACTTGCGACACCCTCGTCGCGTCCTCTTGATGGAATGCCTCAATCAAGTCCTTATTCTTCCAAAGCGTGAGCTCTTTCTCCCATGTTGCTTCACTCTCCGGAAGGTTGCACCACTTGAACAAGTACTCCACAAAGCTTGGATGTACGCCACGACGAGGAATGACACGACGCGCCATGATTTCTTCGACTTCATGGGCGTGTGTCTTGGTGATGAGTGTTGGTGCGCTCTGCCACTCTCTTCGCTGCTCGTCCTCCTTGTCTTCGTTGAAAGCCTTGAGTTGGCTCACATGGAAGACCATATGGATCTCTAAGTGCGATGGCACCTCCACCTTGTACGCCACCTTGCTAATCATCTTCACGATGGGGAATGGCCCTTCATAGCGGCGAAGCAGTCACTTGTGCACGTTCTTGAGATGCTTGAAGCGATGAGGGTAGAACTTCACCATCACCATGTTTCCCTCTTCAAACTCCAAATACTGCCTCTTCTTGTCCGCCCATTTCTTCATCTTCTTACTAGCGCGGGCTAAGTAAGACTTGGCCATCTCCATCTTCTCGTGCCAGCCTTTAGCGAACTTGTAGGCTGCTGGACTGTTGCCTCTATAACCCGTTGCCACCGTCGTAGGTGTCAAAGGTTGTTGTCCCGTCGCCAACTCAAACGGACTCGTGTTGGTCGACTCGCTGCGGTGCAGAGAACTGTGTCGTATCCATCAACTTCACCCAATCTCGTTGGTTTGCACTCACGTAGTGCCGCAAGTACACCTCAAACAAGGCATTCACCCGCTCCGTCTGTCCGTCGCTTTGAGGATGAAATTCCGTCGAGAAGTTCAAGTCTGAGCCCATGATCTTAAACAAGGCATTCACCCGTGAAGCGCCCATCTCTGTTGCTCACGATGTTGCTAGGACTACCCCAATATTTGACCACGTTCTTGAATAATAGACGCGCCACATCCTCTGCCGTCAAGTCTTTTGGCCCAGGAATGAACTCTCCATACTTCGAGAACCTGTCCACCACAACCATGATGCAACCACATCCATCGACTTTGGGAAGTCCGATGATGAAGTCCATGCTTACACTCTCCCATGGTCGTTGAGGCATGGGCAAGGGCTCTAGCAAGCCTAACGGGCTTCTCTGCTCCATCTTGTCTTGTTGGCACACAAGACAAGTCTTCACATACATCTCTACGTCGTCTCTCATACGCGGCCAGAAGTATGCTTATTCGATGAGCGCTTGCGTTCTCTCGATGTCGGGATGGCCCGCCCACTTGGAATCATGGCACCCCTTCTTGATCTCCTTTCTCAAGTTGTCCCATCTTGCCACGAACACTCGCTCTCCCTTAGTCATGATGAGCCCATCCTTCATCCAAAACCGTCGAGTCTTACCTTGCTCGATGTACTCTGCTACGGTTTTGGCGAAGGGGTCATGGCCAAGGCCTTCAACGATCCGCTCCTTCAAAGGAAACATGGGCTGGCTGATGCTTGCGGCTGCACTCTTGCGGCTAAGAGCATCTGCGACGGAATTCGCCTTGCCTGGATTGTACTCCATGATGAAGTCGAACTCGGCCAAAAAGTCTTGCCACCTCGCTTGCTTAGGGGTGAGCTTTTTCTGCGTGAGAAAGTAGCTCGTTGTCACGTTGTCCGTCTTCACTATGAACTTAGACCCCAACAAGTAGTGCCTACATGTGCGCAAGCAATGCACCACGACCGTCATCTCCTTCTCTTGAACGATGTATCGCCTTTCCGTCTCGCTGAGCTTCCGACTCTCGAAGGAAATGGGATGCCCATCTTGCATCAACACACCTCCAATTGCGAAGTCGGATGCATCGGTCTGCACTTCCTAGGCCAACGTCGGGTTGGGGAGCACGAGCACGGGCTCCTTCATCACCGCTGCCATCAAGGCCTCGAATGCTTCTTGGCACCGATCCGACCAATCCCACGCCTTGTTCTTCTTCAATAGATCCGTCAAGGGTGCTGCAATGTTGGAGTAGCCCTTGATAAACCTCCGATAATAGTTGGCAAGGCCGAGGAATGACTGCAACTCTGGCACCTTCGTCGACGGCTCACATTCTTGGGTTGCCTACACCTTCGCCCCATCCATCTTCAACTTGCCTCCACCAATGATGTGCCCCAAGAATGGAACCTCCGCGGCGGCAAATGTGCACTTCTCCCTCTTGACATACAACTCGTTGTTGCGAAGGACTTGGAAGACTTGGCATAGATGCTCGGCATACTCATCGAGTGTTTTGCTATACATGACGATGTCATCCAAGTAGACCACGACAAACCAGTCCAAGAATGGCTCGAACACTTGATTCATCAAAG